TGCATTGTTTATTGAAAATCACACTAAAACTACAGCACTGTATAAGATATTACATAATAATATAGATACATTGTTCAGTATAATATCCCTTTGAAGTAAATGAAGGTCTTAATTGATGTCACAATGATTAAGTCATAATGTGCTTTTGCCATGCAAATTGTTCATATACAGTTTCTAAAGTTTCAGTAAATTATACATTTTATGAGCCTGTGCTAAAAGGCTTTCACTGATCATCGGAATTAAATTATGACGCTACGATTTTGAACGTAGATTTAATCTTGAAACTATTTTCCTCAAAAAAATAAAAAACAATAAGAAAAATATTTTATCATGTAAATCCCAAACTTTCAAATTGTGTGCAATAGCATGGTTGCAAAGTCGACCTGGCCTCATGCAGAAAATATATTTCTGTATAAGATACATATATTGTTAAGAATATTTCTTGGAGACGTATTAAATTTTAATAGAAGGAATTATCTTTGAGAATGGAATATTGGTAATATTCCTATTGGTCTACACGGCAATATTCGCTCTTTAATCTGAAAATAATTACGTTTTACCATCTGCGATCTGTGGTTCAATTACTTTTATGATCTGCTTGTTTGATATTAGATTTATATGAGAATATGTCATTCAATTTACTGTATTCAGTAAGTAAAACGGTAAAAAAAATTTAAAGAGTACAAAAAAAAGCCTATTCAATGAATAAGATTTGTTAGATAATAATTAATAAAAACCAAAAATAGATAAAAGTGTATATTGTATTGTTTATTGAAAATCACACTAAAACTACAACACTTTATATCATATTACATCATAATATAGGTAAACTGCCCAGTATAATTTCCCTTTGAAGCAAACGAAGGTGTTATTTGATGGCACAGTGATTTAGTAATGAACGGTTTGTGCCATGTATCTTGTCCATATAAAATTTGTAAAACTTCAAGAAAATTATAAATTTTATAAGGCTGTGTTATAAGATTTTTACTGATCAGCAGAATTAAATTGCAATGCTACTATTTTGAACCTAAATTTAATCTTCAAACTGGTTTCCTCAAAACAATTGAAAACAATTGATTTATGTAGTTTTATAGAGAAGCTTGTAACTAGTGCATTCCAAACTCCATAGACTGCACCTTATTTAATGACTACAACTTGTGTCACTTTGTTACATGATAACACTTGTCCTTGTTTAATGACTACAAACCAGAATTCTAATTATGAATCACCACAAGCAAAATATGTAATTTTTTTTCACTGTATTCGAGAACTAAAAACATAATACTAAAAAAATAGATGTGTATATAACACCATAATACTGCTGATCACAAAGTATAAGACAAAATGCTTTGCATTGTTTATTGAAAATCAAACGAAAACTACTGCACTGTATAACATATTACATCATATAACCTTTCTAAAGCTTCAGGAAATTATAAATTTTATAAGGCTGTGCTATAAGGTTTTTACTGATCACCGGAATGAAATTGTAACGCTACGGTTTTAAATCTAAACATCAAACTGGTTACTTCAAAAAACGGTAACAATTTGGAAAAAAATATTTTGTGCCGTTATTTATCAGCTCACATCACAAATTTCAAATTGAGTGCAACACCACAATTTCAAAATCGTCCGCGTCCTGTGAATGACAATAAACTACATCCGGCAGCTCGACCTCTAATCGGGGGGGGGTGAGGAGCGTACAACCGCTTCTTGATTTGCTAGTGTTCCCAGGTCCACCATGTCTCTAAAGGTCAGAATACAAAATAAAAATCAAGCAGTTATTGCAATTGTGCAAAGCAGTACAGTTACCATTAAAATTCAGTCAAAAATTTTCCTTTATATGAGCTGTACAACCTGCGTCTTGTAAACGTCTTAGTGAAATAGCGATTTTCCAAACGTAGCTTAGATGTGGCACAAGGCCGAAAGTAGGAGCACCGAGTGAGGATCGAACTCACAATTCAGTCCTACTTGTTGTAGCGAGACAAGCTCGCTAACCATTAGACGGCCTCGAGGTGGCCACATCTTACTGGAATAATTAAGATATAAAAATTCTGATTATATTTATGCCAATGCAACCAGAAATTATTGCAGGAAAAATATTAATGAAACAAATATATTTTACAAATATATAATTTGAATTTATTGCATATAATTGCTGCTTTCAGATAGAACAATATGAATTCCAGACCTTGGAGTATCCGGCAAAAAAAAAAACGGAACTGCTCTGGAGGTGAAGCGAGTAAACAAATATAAATGCGTCAAAATATAGATGTCTATAGACGAAAAGGAATTGCGATAATGTGATAGAGAAAAGACGAGAGCAGTAGCGAGAGAAATCGAGATTTCAGCAAGACGAGAGAAGAATTATTGAGACGGCGTTATTCTTTTTTTGCTCATTCTCCCTGCCGAGAATATTCTTGTATCAAAATTTGATAGTGAAACAAAATACTAATATTAAACATGATGAAATTAATTATAATGAATATTAACAATGATAACACTTTTAAACTGCATAACAGCCGTTTAAATAATGAGAATAGGTATATGAAAGGTACTCTAAAGTCTAAGCTAACAGAAGTTGTCAGGTAGCCAGTTTCGGCGAACTATTGCGAATTTTAAACCTATATATGGCATATAAGACGAAGGGGAATTTTAAAAGATATTTTTAGTAAAAAAAAAAAGAAACGGCGCCTTATAAGCTGTCAAATACAGCAATTACAGTTAACTGTAACTTATTACTAAAAACGTTATATTTCGTGCATACACATATATATGTTTTTTTAAACCGAATAATTGACGTCTAGCGGCCAAGGTCTGCCTAGAGTCTTTAATAAAGAAGATACAGTAATGTTTCGCTATGTTGCAGTTCAGTGAATCGCGCATTTTTAAAAATATTCAGTGTAAATTGATATCGCAGTTCCCTTGGTACATCACGGGTTTCTGTGGCCAATTCCCAGATGATTCCGTACATGCCACACGATTGGCCGATAGAGGAGACACGACCAATGAGAGTATGCTGTTCAGTATCCGAGGCGCTGATCGTCATTTCGTCATCCCACACCATTCAGTTATTTCTACAATGTCGCCCAAATTTTCTGCACCTTCTAAGCCTTCTGACGGTGAATCCAATCGCCAAAGGAAGATGCTTACTATAACAGAGAAGGTGAAACTCCTTGATATGCTGCAGGAAAGAAGAAGCTATGCGGTTGTTGGCAGCCATTACAGCATCAATGAATCCAACGGTCGTTACGTCAAGAAGGATTTTAAAATGTTTAAAAAGTGTTTAAGAGTGCAGAATGGGTTTATAAGAGTGTTTAAGAGAGCAGAAAATGTTTAAAAGAGTATGTGGAGGCTTTATAAAAGCTTTAATATATACAAATATTAAAAAATATACATTACAATACTCTGATGAATCACTTTAGCCAATCCTGTTTTTACTTCGCGGATTTTCACCTATCCCGGTGGGGTGTGGAGCATAACACCCGCGATAGCCGAGGGAATACTGTATCTCCTCTGGCAGTGTTAGAACTTGAGTACCCCTTTTATATAGGGTTTTGATTGATTGATTTGTTTTTTACGACTTATCAGCCCTTTGCAGGTTATTTAAGTCCAAAATATATTTTTACATTATAAGAATTTTTCTTTTTTTTTGTTTGATATAATAATGTTTTTAGTGATACAAGTCTCAATAATTAACCCATAGCTGGGGGAGAAGAGGTAGATTCTTACCTTTCCTAAGGGTATTTGTGCGTAAGTTAATCATAGGATAAAGAACAATTAGGAAACGTTTATTGGTCTAACATGTTTCACTTTTATTAAAGCTTCATCAGTGAATGAGATATGTTGAAAAAAAAGAAGAGATTCTGGTATTTTTACATTTGTGTTGATTTTCCTAAGTTAATCAGACTTGATGTACATTTGACTTGTTAAACAACATTTGTATAATTTATGGTGATCCGAATTCGAGGAGAGACGACGCACCCTTTCGAAACTCCAAGAAATTAAAGAAATTCCAAGCCTAACTGAAAATAAATACTGCTTTATGTACACCACTGCGCAAATTAATTAAAACAAAACGATTAATTCCGTTATTATTTGTTTTTTGTTTTGTTTTTTTTTTCCAATGAAACATGACCCAGTACACATGTTAGTACTTCATATGTCTATTCCACGAAGTTGCTCCTTGCAGATTGACCACAGATTCTCGATTGGATTTAACTCAAGAGAGTTTCCGGGCCAGTCAATAGTACTTTGATTTGCTCACTGGTAAGGCTTTCCAGTATGTTCGTGCAGCGTTACAATTTTCATACGATTCTTTGAAATAACGTCCATCGCTGACAATGGCTGTAGGACAACTAATCGACAGTCGAGACAATAGTGTCTGGGAGTGATGAAAATCTGAGGCAATCACGGATGACGCAATATTTTTGAAGGCCAAACAAATTTCATCATACACCCCGAAAACAGATTCATATTACTGCACATCACTGCAAATGACCTTATATGGGGACAAAATAGAAATCGATTACACCCTGTCACTCTAGTGGGTCTAAAACCGACCATATAGTGTAAAAAAGGAAACTAAAGTAGTGGTTTCAATTAATTTGCACAAGGGTGTATGTAAGAATATCATAATTTTAGTTTGTCTTCTTCTCTCTCTCTCTCTCTTTCTCTTATGTATGTGTGTGTGTGTGTGTGTGTGTGTGTGTGTGTGTGTGTGTGTGTGTGTGTGTGTCTAGTAGACCTTGTGATTGGTGGTTATCTACATTTTGATATGGGAATGTTTTTACGTGAACACCGTTTGTTTTAAATAAACTTACGTTAGATTCTTTAAGAATGCATTCAATAAAGGTTGGCGATCATAATATAATACTTTTGACGTGTATCTATAGTTGGTAAAATATTTTTCAGGAATCTCTCAAAGAGAATATAACGAACCCAACGGGAATTGGAACTCCGCTCTCCGATTAAAAATTCCGGGCCAATATTACATCATCTTACAGTACCTAACATTCCAAAACAGTTACCCATCTAGGTACTGACCAGGCTCGAGATGGCTTAACTTCAGTGATCATACGAGAACCGGTATTTCAACGCAATATGGCCGTAACCCCCCCCCCCCGCATTATCACTTTCAGAGATTAGCGCAACACAATCTTACTCGACCTATTCCTTTAACATAAATTATTTTAATAAGCTTCTCCATAAACTTCTTATCCTTCTGTTTGGTTAATGTAAACATCTGCGGCAGTAACCAAGGGAATTGATTTATTTTTGTGTAAGACACCCAGTGAGGATTGAACTCACTAATCAGTAGTAACGATCAATCAAACTATCCTCGCAAAATATTACCAATAGCGAGGCTCCTATCTCCCAGGAGTAGATATTTATTAAGCTACGCCGTGTCAGACACAAGGTGAAAATTAAAGTGTACCTAGATAGGTTTTAATGGACATTTTCTAGGTTACACTCCGCCTTGATCTGAGGATAAAGTGACGAAGATGATAATCTGCTTTGAGCCGATGATTAAAAGAGATTTGACGAGACGCGAGATTAGCGCCCCTGGGCCACAGAAGAACATTTGACACCTGCTAAGACAAGATGCAACGTTTGTTCATATGATAGCATCTTTGGCTCCTGTTGTCTGTAATTTTCTAATATCTTTGAGGGCTTAACACACTGACGCCAGCGAGTTTCGTTCGGTAATGCATTTCTGAACATTATCGACCATAAAGAAAGATTAATGTTGACACGACTGGTAAGGATAATCATTATTGTTAGTCGTCGTCATCGTCATCATTATTTTGCATTCTTGGGCAGGAAAATATTCTTGGTCGGGTTACATAAATTATTTACAAATCTTTGTTCGAGCTAAGCGCAAGACCTACATGGGAGATCAAATTAGTAACAAATTGACTGTTGTCCTCGTCTTTATTGCCATATTCTAGACGTTTCATCTGTTGTACACTCCGGCCTTCTTCAGATGATTTGAATTTCGAACTGAACCTTTATTTCGTCCACCGGAGTAGATTGTTCTAGTTCCACGTGCTATGCCTCATCCGGGTGTCTCAGTTATCTCTCTTTAACCCAACTGCCCAAGTTTTTGTTCATCTCTTTCGTGGCCAGGTTTCGAACTCACAACTCTTTTGGATCAAGTCATTGGATCTAACCAACGGTTTTATCGACAATCTTGTTTTGAAGTAAAGCACCCAAGAAAATTAAATTTCGGCATTAATTGACCCATAAGGTGTTGATATGCCGTTAAACAAACAAATCAATCCGTTTTTGAATGATGACTTCCATTACAACATTCAGTACGCGAAAATACAAGAAATGCTTGAGGGCTGAGCGACAAAAATGATTCGTACGAATAATATATGAAATAATGATATGTAATTTCAAACTCATAAACTGCCATTTTTCTACCATGTGTCCTTTCTGGACATGGGGAGTCAGGAACGCCATGACAGAAAGTTGGAACTTTCTGTCATGGCGCTCTTTTCTTTTTCTTTTTTTTATGCGTGAAGACAGTTTTGGCAGATTTCTAGTCAAAATAACTCGATCTTGGACCATCGAACTTCCGTTTCTCAACAATTGTTGTGTCTCCTCTCTTCCTTTTTTTTTTTCTTTTTTTTTAAATGAGAATTACCTTATTGTTTTTTAAAATCGAATTTATCGCAAGCAAGAGAATAAAAACACTAAGACACAAGAATTACTGGGTGAGGAAGAATTAGAAAGCAGAAACATTACTAAAGAGCGAGAACAATAGAAAAATAATCAGGAAGACAGCAGATAGCGATTAACATTGCATTGACATTTTTAAACATTAAAGTTGTTGAAAGAATATTTGAGAGAGAGAGAGAGAGAAAAAAAATATGTGTTTGTAAGGAAATCAAATGCCTTATTTTAATTTTAATTTTAATTTTAATTTTTCTAAATATTTTATTTTCAGATTTTATTTTACATTTGCGTCCACCATAGAACTACAACTCTGTTGCTCGAAATCTTTTTCATTTTGTTATTCCAGAGTAGACTAAAAAGATCGAAATGGGGGCACCTACATCCATTACGACTGAATAGGGAGTTCGATCCTCACTGGGTGCACAATAGTTTCGGCCATGTGCCACCTCGAAGTTACCTTTAGAAAACCACCAGGAGTATTGGTGCAGTGGTTAGTAAGCTTGCGTCGGTAGATCAATTATGACTGAATAGTGAGTTCGATCCTCACTGGGTGCCCCATACTTTCGGCCTTGTGCCACATTTAAGCTACGCTTGGAAAATCACCATTCGGCACATCGATATGGTTAACAAGCTTGTCTCACTAGATCAATTACGACTGAATAGTGAGTTCGATCCTCACTGGGTGTCCCATACTTTCGGCCTTGTGCCACATTTAAGCTACGCTTGGAAAATCACCATTCGGCACATCGATATGGTTAACAAGCTTGTCTCGCTAGATCAATTACGACTGAATAGTGAGTTCGATCCTCACTGGGTGCCCCATACTTTCGGCCATGAGCTACATCTACGTTACGTTTAGAAATCCACCATTGAGCACTTTATGGTGTAATGGTTAACAAGATTGTCTCGCTAGAACAATTACGACTAATAGTGAGTTCGATCCTCATTGGGCGCCCTGTTCTTTCGGCCTTGTGCCACATATAAGCTACTCTCGAAAAACCACATCTACGCTACGTTTAGAAAATCACCACTGGACACCTCGATGTGGTGTAATTGTTCTAGCGAGACAAGCTTGTCTCGCTAGAACAATTACGACTGAATAGTGAGTTCGATCTCCATTGGGTGCCCCGTTCTTTCGGCCTTGAGCCACATCGAAGCTACGCTCGGAAAATCACAATTTGGAGCACCTCGGTATGGTGTAAGGGTTAGCAAGCTTGTCTTGCTCGATCAATTACGACTGAAAAGTGAGTTCGATCCTCACTGGATGCTCTATACTTTCGGCCTTGTGCCACATCTAAGATACGCTTAGAAAATCATTTTGGGTACTTCGATATGGTGTAATGGTAAGCAAGCTTGTCTCGCCAGATCAATTACGACTGAATAGTGAGTCCGATCCTCACTAGGTGCCTTATACTTTTGGCCTTGTTCTACATCTAAGGTACGCTTAGAAAATAACCACTAGAAAGACCGAAATGCTTACAGTGTTTACTCGTTCCCCCACCAGGACAAGATGTGACACAAGGTCTTTTTAAAGTGGGGACCCGAGCGCGTGCACCCGGACAAGGGACAAAAAATCGCCCACAGCCCCCACAACCGTTGGTTGCGCTGGCCGCGGTGCGAGCACTGATCCCTCCCTCTGATGCAATGGGAGGGCGCGGCCTCGGGCAGCTGTTCCCCAGGGCTTGGCACCTCTCAGTATAATTTTCTCAGTGGCCCCTCTGCCCTTTGACAGAGAAGCCCCCGAGCGCAGGCGTTAGAAATCCCTCCAAGGAGGAATTTATGCGCTGACCGAAATGCTTACTCACACTAGAGGTATTTTATATTAGTAACAACTAGTTTCAACCCGTTCAAATTTCACGCTTTTCCTATTTTAAATGTCTGATGAATCTTAATTCTTCAGTTAATCATTGAATATGCTCATGACGCGTTCTACAACAATAAAATATCCCTAAAAATCTCTCTCTCACATCGTTAAAATTTGAGATTAAGAACTTTAACAAAATATTGCAATAACAATCAAAATACGAATGCTGGAACACCTCGACATGGTGTAATGTTTAGCAAGTGTGTCTCGTTAGAACAATTACAACTGAATTGTGAGTTCGATTCACACTGGGTGCCCCATACTTTCGGCCTTGTGTCACATCTAAGCTATGCTTGGAAAATCACCATAAATATAAGTGCTGCTCGTTATTTTAAAAAGTAAGGGGGTACAATGAAAAGATTCGAAATTGACAATTTTTTCCATTTCACTGAAACAGGCGTTAAATTCTAGTATTTAATCCAGTCCTGGATAAAGTGGGTCCCGCAGGCCACAGGTAACCTCGTTTCGCTTTCTGAATGTCACGCCGAATTCCATGAGGAAAATAAGGTTTATTAAAATTTTGTTTATTTCATTTTGTCCTTACTTGTTCACTCACATTTTCTCACGCATAACCACACACATAAGCAATGATTACGTACAATGTTTCTTGAATTTTGTAACTTTTCGTTAAACGTAACGTTTTCATCATTTTAAACGACTGGTGATTTTCACTGTGTGTAAATATAATTTGTTTTAGAAACAGGACGTCCATAATGTTTTTTTTTGGTCTGAAGAAGAAACATATTTTTTTTCTAAAGAAATATATCTTTTAATTTAAAAATTATTTCGTGTATTTTCAAATGAATGAAAAAAAATCACATCCAATAGTGTGTGTTAACCATTGCCATATGTGATAAAATTATACGGTGACTTAATTTAATAACTGAGAAATCTTTTATCCAAAACCAATGGCAGATGCTGACGCGTATGATCTTCTGTGATGAAAATGGCTCAGACAGCCTCAACGAAAAATTACCTTGAATCTTTTTAGTAATGCGGTCCGCCTTATGATGAGCCAGATCTGAAGTGGCCCACTGGTCGCAAAAGGTTGCCAATGCCTTATCTAATCCCCTCTTTTCTTTCATTTTCTCACTGAAATGACCTATCGACTTTGATATGTCTTTTGTATTCTCACGTGATCAAAACGGAATAGTCCATTTATTTATGAGGTATTAGTAAGAAACGTTAAACATCTCTAGCTTTCTTTGTTTTTTTTCACTGAAACCGAGTAGCGTCTCTGATAAGTGTTTTGTCTTTCAAAACGGAGTAGTCCATTATTTTTTAGGTATAGGCAGGGCGTAACGGTCGTAAAAACTATCGAAGAGAAGAAGAGCAAAATTATAATAGAACAATTCGTGAGATAAGGTTATTAATTAATCTCAGAATTTTATACAACGTAAGTCTATTGTGTATTTTTTTTTTAAATAAAGAAAAAACATAACATTAGATATGGGATGATGAAGTGTGTATATGCATTGAAGACGCCCCTTTTCGTCGCATCAAACAAAAGCACACATAGAGCTTTTTAGGGGAATGAAACACGAGAAGACGCTATCTTGTCACC